GTATAATGACATATTTTTCCTCCTAGTCAATTACTCATTCCTTTTTTTCTGCTTTGTGTAGCTATTGAGTAACCTTGGAGATTCCACATAGGAATGACAAGCACCCAATCAGCTCACTAGTGTTTAGAACTCATAACTAATGAACTTATAAGCTATCTTCAATAAGGCACTTTCACATGTATGATACCGTTTATTCTTTTTTTTTTTAATGTTTTTATTTATTTATTTATTTATTATTTTTTTTGAGTTGGAGTCTCACTCTGTCACCCAGACTGGAGTGCAGTGGCCGCTCCCGGCCACCGCAGCCTCGACCTGCTGGGCTCCAGCGATCCTTCCGCCTCAGCCTTTCAAGTAGCTGGAACTACAGACGCGTAATACCACGCCCGGCTAATTTTTGACTTATTGTAGAGATGAGGTCTCGCCAAGTTGCCCAGGCAGGTCTCGGACCTGCAGGCTCAGGCAATCCACTCACCTCAGCCTCCCAAGGCACGTGATTACAGGCTGAGCCACCGAGCCCGGCGATACTGTTTATTCTTATACCACATTGGAATAGCTTGTATTAGTCCCATTTTACTGAAGAACTATCTGGGTCTTGCAGACTTGGTGTGAATTGCTCAAGGACTAACAACGAACAACAGAGGCAGAATTCAAATTCAAACTCTGGTTCCAATTTCATAATCTTCTCATGATATCCTGCTGCTTCCTGACAGAAGGAATTTCCCAAGAGTCACGGCAAGAGATCTTCTGGGCTGCTAGCTGAGTTTAAGAGGAAGGAGAGGATATATTTTAAAGCTGCAAAAGTATTGATAACCCAGAAATTAAAATGCCACTCTTGACTGTAAGTGACACCAGACCTGTCCAGCATTCTAGCCTGAGGAGTTACATTCTCCCCGAAGAACCTGCACTCTTGCCCTGTATACATCAGGATTCAGTACTTCAGCATACAGGGGCTGGTTGTTCTAGAAAGCTCAGAGTCACAGCACCATGTACCACCCCAAGCCTGACAGAGGCGGGGAGGGAGGAAGGAAGGGAGTATGTCCACAGCTCTTATCTCCTCATCTCTCCGCAATAAAACTCAGGATGCCTCATGAAACTTGAATGTCGGATAAACAGTTTGCTGGCACAAGTTACGTAGCTGACATTCAAATGGAGCCTTGAAATTTGCTAAATTTGACAAATCATGCAAACTTGTCTCAAGGTAGGCGGTGATCCCAAGGCCGCTCCCGGCCACCGCAGCCTCGACCTGCTGGGCTCCGGCGATCCTTCCGCCTCAGCTTTCCGAGTAGCCGGAATTACAGGCGCGCGCTACCACGACTGGCTAATTTTTTTATTTTATTGTAGAGATGAGGTCTCGCCTGCCCAGGCGGGTCTCGAACCCGTGGGCTCAGGCAATCCACTCACCTCAGCCTTCCAAAGGCGCGGGATTACAGGCTGAGCCACCGAGCCTGGCTGATCCCAAGGTTTTAAGGGTGTGAGGTTGGGAGTAGCTACTGAGGACAGGAGCCCACATGGCTCTGCTCTTGCCCTCTGTGTCCTGTGCAGGCCACGAGTGATGATTCCTGCACAGGTGCAGAAGCACAAAGAAGGCCTAAGAGGGGATTCCCCCATGTCCTGCAAGCATTGGTTAATTGTGCATTTTGGGGGGGTCTGTGGTAAGGAGAGTTGGCTTGACCTAAAGTGAAGGTTAAAGCTGATTTACCTGGTTTCATTTAGCTCTTCAGTTCATCTGTTTTCATCAGTAAGTACTCAAATCTGATCAAGAAGCTAAAGTTAACCTTTGAGATGCATAAACTTGTTTGAAGAAAGGAAAGAGGAAGGGGCGGAAGATAGCTTGGATGTGTCAGGCACAAAGATCCATGAGTGTCTGGAACAGGTGTGGAGATTCCTGTGGCAGGAGGTGGCTGGCACAGGAGAGGATGGGAGGGCAGACACCGCGGGCCTTCCTGGGTGGGCATCAGGGAGCAGGGGTCAGAGGGAAGACTGAGGCTGGGCTCTTGCCTCAGGTTCTGAGGAACGAAGAGCTGGGGGGCATGCCCAGGGTGTTAACTCTCCAATAGCAGAGAGTCAATACAACCTCATTGACAGGAAAGAGGATACCCTGGTTGTTCATCTTGGAGCTCCAGGAGGGAGACTGGGCTCCACTCTCAGCCCTACCACTCAGGAGATCTGGAACCTTGAACACCATTATTTTTTTTCCAATTTTTTTGAGTTGGAGTCTCACTCTGTCACCCAGACTGGAGTGCAATGGCCGCTCCCGGCCACCGCAGCCTCGACTGCTGGGCTCTGGCAATCCTTCCAAGTTGCTGGAACTACAGGCACACGCTACCACGCCCAGCCAATTTTTGATTTATTGTAGAGATGAAGTCTTGTCAAGTTGCCCAGGCGGGTCTCAAACCTGCGGACTCAGGCAATCCACTCACCTCGGCCTCCCAAATTGCTGGGATTACAGGCTGAGCCACCGAGCCTGGCCTGTTCCAATTTTTTAAAGTTGTATTTTATTTGACATAATAATTGTACATATTTGAGGGATACAATACAATGCATTGTTTCAATACATGTATGTGTTGAGTAATGATTAAATCAGGGTAATTAACATATTTATCACCTTAAATATTTATCATTTCTTTGTAATCAAAACATCCAAAATCCTCTCTTCTTCCTATTTTGAAATATACCATACATTATTGTTAACTAATGGCTACCTTACTGTGCAATAGCACACCTGAACTTATTCCTACTATCTAGCATAGAACCTGCTGACCAATTTCTCCCTATCTGTCCATTTCCCCTTTCCTCTCCCCATGATAATGCCCTCCAGATCCAATGCCACAAGTGATAGGAATTCATTCTTTTTAATGGCTGACTAGTAGTCCATTGTGTGTATATACCACATTTCTTTATGCATTCATCCATTGATGAACACTTACATTGATTCCATGGACTACACCATTATTATCTCTGGGCCTTTGTTCACCTGAAAAATGTGCCAGTGAGGCATATATTACATTTTCCTTATGGGTCCTCTGAATTCTAAAATCCTGTTGTTGTAAGTTTTATTTCAAGCCTTCTCATCAATGCTGTTCTGTGTGTACTGGCCAGGCAAGAAGGCTGGTGACCAACTTCATCAATAATCTTTATTATGTCTAAAGATACTTTTTCGTCTTCCCTTCAGTTTTTTTCCCCCATCTAGGCAAAATTTCAAAATCCTTTTTTCAAAGGTCTATAGTCAGATGAGTTAACTAACAAGATCAACACTTTTCTAAAGCCTCATGACAGCAAGACAATTAGTAGCTCTGCGGGACCAAAGGCTACAGTTAGTATTTCAATCCCAGTTCACTCTTCATTTGATCATGCATTCACTCAGCAATATTTGTGGTGCTCATGAAATGCATCAGGCAGATTTGAGCTGGAGAGAGGAAAACTTCAGCAGAACTAGAAAACATGGCCAGGCACGGTGACTCACGCCTGTAATACTAGCATTACAGGCTATGAGATGGGAGGATTGCTTGAATACAGGAGTTGGAGAACAGCCTAGGCAACATAGTGAGACCTCGTCAACATAGCAGACTTCTACAAAACATCAAAAAATTAACCAGGTGTGGTGGCATTTGCCTATAGTCCCAGCTACTCGGGAGGCTGAGGCAGAAGGATCACCTGAACCCAGGAGGTCAAGGCTGCAGTGAGCTATGATCATGCCACTGCACTCCAGCCTTGGCGACAGAGTGAGACCCCGACTTAAGAAAATTAAAGAAGTTTGCAAGTGTGATACCACAAGCTTTGTTCCTTTTGCAGAGAAATCCTTTAGCTATTTGTGCTCATTTTTGCTTCCATATGAATTTCTGTATTGTCTTTTATAGGTCTGTGAAAAACGATGTTGGCAACTTGATAGAGATGGAATCTGTAGATTGCCTTGGGTAGAATGGACATCTTGATAATATTGATTCTTCCAATCCATGAGCATGGAATGTTTTTCAATTTGTTTTTGTATCATCCTTGATTTCCTTGAGCAGTGTTTTGTTCTCGTCATAAAGGTCTTTCACTTGTTTGGTTAGGACGATGCCAAAGTCTTTCTGTCTTTCTTTTTCTTTTGTGACTATTGTGAATGGAATTGTGCTTTTTATTTGGTTCTCAGTCTGCTTGTTGTTGGTATATAGAAATGCAACTATCTTTTGCACATTGATTTTGTATCCTGAGACTTCACTGAAGTCGTTTATCAGTGAGAGGAGGTTTTTGACAGTCTCTAGGGTCTTCTAGGTATAGAATCATATCATTCCAAAGAGGAATAACTTGACTTCCCTTTTCCTATTTGGATGTCACTGATTTCCTTCTCCTGCTTGATAACTTCCAGTACCATGTTGACTAGGAGGGATAAGAGTGGGCCATAAAGAAGAACAACACCATGGCCTTCACAGCAACTTGGATGCAAATGGAGACCATCATACTAAGTGAACTATCACAGAGACAAAATACTGAATATTGCATGTTCTCATTCATAAGCGGGCCCTTAACACTGGTCACACTAGCACTAGGACTGAATCAGCAGGTGCTGGACCCTACTAAGGGAGAGAGGAGGAAGGGGAGAACGTGGCAACACACTGGACCACTATCAGGGAGAGAGAGGGCCAGCTAGAAGCCCAGACTTCACCTGCATGCAACCTACTTACGTAGTAAATTCCCACTTGTACCCCACAACTCTAAAATGTTAAAAAAAAAAAAAACAGAAAAAACGGGAAACTCCAGGTTCCCTGAGACCTGGTGTTTAGCCCTCCATCCATGAAGAGGTAAAGGCAAAATGAAAATGAGTTCTTGTTCAGTTTCAGTGTAAGGTTGAAAGTGCTGGATTATTCAAGGTGTTTGAATAATCTGTCAGTTCCCCCTTGATGTAGATGTGAACCTCCAAGACCGGACATACTTGGGAGCTGGCTCCTTCTCCCAGAATGCAAAGCAGCCCCCTGGGATGTCCTCCCCTTATGTGCTTCTTCTCTGCCCTCTATCCACAGGACTGCGCTTGAGATGGAGTTGCTGCCCCTTTGGCTCTGCCTGGGTTTTCACTTCGTGACAGTGGAATGGAGGAACAGAAGCGGAAAGGCCACAGCAGCTTCCCCAGGGGGCTGCAAGTTGGTGAGTTTTCCCTTGAGCCCTGAGGTGTCTGTTGCTCCTGTCTTGACGTTTGGACCGTCTGGAAAGCTGACAGATTGTGGATCAAGAAGGGTCGGAAATGAAGGAGTCTGAATCACTCTGACCTGCCTCACCAGTGCCATGTGCAAACTGCTCTTTATTTTATTTATTTTATTTTTTTGAGTTGGAATCTCACTCCATCACCCAGGCTGGAGTGCAGTGGCATGCTCACGGCCACCCCAGCATCCACCCACTGGGCTCTAGTGATCCTTCCGCCTCAGGTTTCCAAGTAGTAGGAACTATAGGTGCGCGCTATCAGGCCTGGTGCATTTTTTTATATATTGTAGAGATGATGTCTCACCAAGTTGCCCAGGCTGGTCTCGAACCCCTGGCTCAGGCAATCCTCTTGCCTCAGCCTCCCAAAGTGCTGGGATTATAGGCTTGAGCCACCATGCCCGGCTGCAAGCTGCTCTTGAACCACAGGTTTTTAAGATGATGCCAGGGAAAGACCCAGCAGCCCCTGTCCCCTCCCCCACCCTCCCCTTTTCATATCTGCTGAAGACAGGAGCTCTTAGAGATAGGCCTAGGGATGCCTCCCGGGGCAAAGAGACCTTGTTAAAAATCCAGAGGATTCGGCCAAGTGCAGTGATTCACGCCTGTAATCCCAGCACTTTGAGTGGCAGAGACGAAAGGATCGCCTGAGCCCAGGAGTTCAAGACTAGTCTGGGCAACATGGAGAGACCTTGTCTTTACAATAAATCAAAAAATTAGCCTGGCATGGTAGTGTGTGCCTGTAGTTCTGGCTACTTGGGAGCCTGAGGCAGAAGGATAACCTGAGCCCAGCAAATTGAAGCTGTGGTGTATCATGCCACTGTGCTCCAGCCTGGGTGATGGAGTGAGACTCCGACTCATAAAATGAAATAAAGCATTCTGAGATCCCTGTTATATACCAGGCTCTGGGAAGACAAAAGAATGCCAGGGCTGATATTTACATTTAAGAATGTGATCTTAAAACTAATTAATCTTAAAATCCCAGCTGTCATGGTTTTTAACCACTTATGGTAACTTCTATCCGCTATGCTAGAGTATATTCCAGCATGATGTAGGACTTACGAGCCTGAGTGAGCAGGTTCAACCCAGCCCCACTGCCTAGTAGCTGGTGACGTTGGGGTCACTCTGTGCCAAAGTTTCCTCATCTATAAAATATCTACTAATAGTAATACCTACTAATAATACTGTAACACTGGGTTGTTATGATGATTAAATGAGTTAATCCGTATGAAGCACTCAGGACATGCCTGGTATATAGTAAGTGCTATTTGCTTTATCTGTTATCATTCATATTATTATTATCTCCTCTACATTGACCTCCAGCAAAGGAGATCAGAAGCAATACAAGCCTAACTTCATGGTAACTACTCAGGGGTTACCAGGCACAGGAAGAGGAGAGCATAAATAATAATTTTTTTTCTTGGACAGCCTTTCAGAGTTCAAGTCAAACTCTCTTCCTGACCCTCTCTGGTCTGGTGGGCAGGAGTGGGGACTCGGCCACCAAGAAACTCAAAGAGTGGATTTCCTATGGTTCTTCTGTATTGAGGACTGAGAGCTGGAGGGTCCACGTGCCCTCTCCCTTGTCCCTCATTGCATGAGCCATTTGATGCTGTAAGAAAGAGGATGTGGCAGGGTTTTCTGGTGCTCTGGTGGCCCTGTGGTCCTTCTGCAGCACTTCAGTGGGGCCACATGGAATTGCAGAGATGTAACCCACGACTACAGCCGCTGTGGCGGAACAGGGTCTCACAGCATAAGGAAAGGCCCTAACCACGACATTTCCCCCGCAGAGAATGAGGAGAGTGAGTGGGAGAGAGATCTTGTAGAGGGGGAGACCAGCACTTACTCACCCAAAGAAATATACCTTGTTTCTGGAGGGGGAGACTCAATTTTGTAAAGATGAAAATTCTCCCCCAAATTAATTCATAATTATAATGCAATCCCAACCAAAATTCCAAGACTTTTTGGTGGGGAAAGAAGATGTGGAAGGAACTACACAAATTTATCCTAATGGGCATCTGGAAATTAGAGATAATTCAAATGCTCTAAGAAGAGATTACATAATTAGATCATGCTAATAATTATAGCTAACATTTATTAGGGGACGATAAGTGTGTTTTACATAAACAATCGCACTCAATCCTCAAAGAGTCTCTTTGGGTTGGGTTACCATCCCAAGGTCACCCATTTGATCAAAATCAGAAGCCAAGATGAACTGGCCCCAGAACTCTGGGTCTCAACCACTGTGCTAGTCATGCAATTAACTAATACAGTTCCTAAAAAGAATACAATCAGTTTATTTTTATTGCCTAGGCAATATGTCTATTATATACCAGCGGTGCCAAAAAAATGTATACACATTTTAAGAGATGTTATCTATGTACTATTTTTCCAAGTTGAATTAAATTATGGCAGCAATGTGTTTGCACGTTTGCTCAACCGTGCTTTCACCATTTTCTTTGGCTGTCCTGCTTGTCACATGGTGATGCTAGCATTCCATTGCATCTTTTGAGCAAATGGGCTAAGTTTCTGCGTAGAACCCTCTGCCCCATGACCTCCTCCCTGCTGACCAGTGTGTTCTGGGACCTAGGTGGATGGAGCCACTGACTGCCGTGGGCAGAGCCTGGCTTCAGTGCCCAGCAGCCTCCCTCCCCACTCCCAGACGCTGCTGCTGGATGCCAACCCTCTCAAGACCCTGTGGAATCATTCCCTCCAGCCTTACCCTCTCCTGGAGAGCCTGAGTCTGCACGGCTGCCACCTGGAACGCATCGGCCGCGGCGCCTTCCAGAAGCAAGGCCACCTGCACAGCCTGGCACTGGCTGACAACTCCCTCTCAGAGAACCACAAGGAGACAGCAGCCGCTCTCCACACCCTACCAAGTCTGCGGAGGCTGGACTTGTCAGGAAACTCCCTGACCGAGGACATGGCGGCCCTCATGCTCCAGAACCTTTCCTCGCTGGAGTCTGTGTCCCTGGCGAGAAACACCATCATGAGGCTGGATGACTCTGTCTTCGAGGGCCTGGAGCACCTCCGGGAGCTGGATTTGCAGAGGAACTACATCTTTGAGATTGAGGGAGGTGCTTTCGATGACTTGACCGAGCTGAGACACCTTAACCTGGCCTATAACAACCTCCCCTGCATCGTGGACTTCGGCCTCACAAGGGTGCAGCGTCTCAACATCAGCTACAACGTCCTGGAGTGGTTCCTGGCGTCAGGTGACGAGGCTGCCTTCGACCTGGAGACGCTGGACCTGTCTCACAATCAGCTGCTGTTTTTCCCGCTCCTTCCCCAGCACAGCAAGCTGCACACCCTCCTGCTGCAGGACAACAACATGGGCTTCTACCGGGACCTGTACAACACCTCCTCACCACAGGAGAGGGTGGCCCAGTTCCTCCTTGTGGATGGCAACGTGACCAACATCACCACAGTCAACCTCTGGGAGGAGTTCTCCTCCAGCGACCTCTCGGAGCTCCGCTTCCTGGACATGAGCCAGAACCAGTTCCAGTACCTGCCAGACGGCTTCCTGAAGAAGATGCCAGCCCTCTCCCACCTGAACCTCAACCAGAATTGCCTGAGGGTGCTCCGCGTTGGGGAGCACGAGCTCCCGGGGGCGCTCACAGAGCTGGACCTGAGCCGCAACCAGCTGTCAGAGCTGCAGGTGTCTCCGGGGCCCACAGGTTGCCTGCGGAGCCTTCTCCTGTTCAACGTGAGCTCCAACCAGCTCCTGGGCATCCCCAAGGGCCTTTTTGCCAATGCCAGTAGCATCACTACACTCGACATGAGCCACAATCAGATCTCCCTTTGTCCTCGGCCAGCTCTCCCGGACCCCAGGGGCCCCCCCAGTTGTGTAGATTTCAGGAATATGGCATCTTTGAGGATCCTCTTTCTGGAGGGCTGCGGGCTGGGAGCATTACCAGACTACCCGTTCCGGGGAACCTCCCTCACTCACTTAGACCTCTCCAGCAATTGGGGGGTTTTGAATGGGAGCATCACCCCACTCCGGGATGTTGCCCCCACGTTACAGGTCCTGTCTCTCGGGAACGTGGGCCTCAGTTCCAGCTTTGCAGAGTTGGACTTCTCAGGGTTCAGGGACCTGAGGGACTTGGATATTTCGGGGAATTCCTTGACCAGTTTCCCAAGGTTCGGGGGCGGCCTGGCCTTGCAGACCCTGGATCTCCGCAGGAACTCGCTCACAGCCCTTCCCCAGAGGGTTGTGTCTGAGCAGCTCCTGAGAGGCCTGCGGACCATCTACCTCAGTCAGAATCCATATGACTGCTGTGGGGTGGAGGGCTGGGGGGCCCTGCAGCGTCTGCAGACCGTCGCCGACTGGGCCATGGTCACTTGCAACCTCTCCTCCAAGGTCATCCGCTTGGCAGAGCTGCCCGAAGGCGTGTCTCAGGACTGCAAGTGGGAGCGTCTGGACATGGGCCTGCTCTACCTCGTGCTCATTCTCCCCAGCTGCCTCACCCTGCTGGTGGCCTGCACCGTCATCTTCCTCACTTTCAAGAAGCCTCTGCTTCAGGTGATCAAGAGCCGCTGCCATTGGTCCTCCATTTACTGACGTGGCTGCGTGCCAAGGTTAGAATTTTGATCCATCGCAGAGAGGGACGCCTTCTCTGCCAGATTTCAAGATGCAGAGGCCAAATCTGATGAGTGGAGGTCTAAATTAAAATTAAAATTGTTTCCACCCTTTACTCCCCCAAGTTTTCCCCTATCATTCTGATTCATCCTCATCATCCTGTTCAAATATTTATTAAGTGATATTCTATGAAAATAAAAGACAGTATGTCTCATAAATATTTTTAAAATCAAATAAAATGCAGCGTGTGGTGTTTTGTTTTTTTTTTCTTTCTTTCTTTAAAAGTGTTCTTTGGTGGTTTCACTTGAATTATTTTTAGTAGTCCTTCCCTTGATGACATCCATGGAGCTGAAAGGGTGGCAGTTCAATGCTACCCTACAGCAAAAACAACCCCAGGAGTGTGTGCTAGGAATGGTGAGAGTCAGTGCTTTGGGGATTCACCAAGGACAAGGATCTCTTTCTTTCCTTTTTTTTTTTTTTTTTGAGTCAGGATCTCACTCTGTCACTCAGGGCTGGATTACAGTGGCATGATCACAGCCTAACATAGCCTCAACCTCCTGGACTCAGACAATCCTTTCATCTCAGCTTCCCAAGTAGCTGGGACTACAGGCGCATACCACCATGCCCGGTTAATTTTTTTGTATTGTTTGTAGAGACAAGATCTCACTATGTTGCCCAGACTGATCTTGAACTCCTGGCTTCAAGTGATTAAGGATCCCGCCTCAGCTTCTCAAAAGCACTGGGATTATAGGTGGGAGCCACTGTGCCTGGTTGACAAGAATTTCAAAGCACAGCTGGAGGCTCTGACATGAGATGAGATGAGAACTCTTGCCTTCCATGTGGCTGGCTTGTTTTGCCGCTGCAGTGAGAATGGGCCAGTGGCAGGGACCTCTCCAGGTGCCCTGGATTCATACCTGGAGTCTCTGGCAGACATGACTCTTCTGTGGAGAAACTAAGAAAACAATAACTGGGCCCTGGGTCTATGCAGTCAGTAAGCTGAATACTAGATACAGTCCTTGTTCTGAGGAAAAGTAAAGAGAAATGCAGAAAGGAGCTGTGCACCATTCTAACTCCTCACAAGAAAAACCACAGACAACCTCTTAGTAGATGGTCAGTATCTGTCCTCACTGGACTCCTAGTTCCCTTTCTCCCTCTTCCTTCAATATACAGTGAACAATTTCTGTGCTCCTTCCTGGGAGAGAAGATAACAAAGACACAGCCCCTGTCGGTTGGTAGTTTAGAATTTACAGTATCTTTGAACTTTTATCCCTGCTTATTAAATCGTAAAGTGATTAAATGCAGTGGGGGAGGGAGGGAGATGGAGAGAGGCTAGAAATCCCACAAACTGCTGTTACCATACAGACTAAATGTCAGCAGAAATGTTTAGGCAAATCAAAGAGATAAAATCAGTGGTCTTACTTTGACAAAGCAGAAATTTCCCTTGGATGCTCTATGGGCGTATGAACAAGGCCATTTCAGTAAGGCTCCACATTCAGTAGCATCCGGGGCAGGCCCTGTTGGATTCTGCCCTTCTTATGACCCCACCTTTCCATCCTCACTCCCCTAGTTGCCTCAGCTGGCTCCCGGTTATCTTGAAGTCTCTGTCTGGCCCTTCTGGGCAAGGGCCATCAGCCAGTGCCCATCAGACAGACTCTCCTGATTTCCTGTCCCCATCAACAGCAACCCTTTCCTGGGGTCCTGCTGTCTCCCAAAGTGTCATCTAGCTAATTAGACAAATGAATCTCTCTGTGACTGGCACATTTTTGGCTTCTCAAGTTCATATGTTATCCCTCTCATGAGCCAATATTCTTAGTTTCTTGCAACTGAAGATGGTTCTGTCGGATTTAAGCAGCACAGGGATGTAGTAAAAGAATATCAGGAAGCTCTAGGCTCTCTGGGAAGGCTGAGAAACAGGCCTGGGAAATGGGCAGGAACTGAGGATGCAGCAGCTGGGACCACAGCTGAAACCATGCCAATAAATGACTACTGTGAAACATGGCTGCAGCCACCCCTTAATACTGCATGCCATGGTGTGCACTGCTGCCACTGCCATGGGATTGCTGCCACCCACTGCTGAAATCAACACTCCCCAGATTCTGCTGAGTCGCCAGTTCCTGATGCACAGTCTGGAGCAGGTGTGTGGCTGGTTGACCTTGGGTCATGCGCCTCTGCCCTGGCTGCAGGAAGGACTGGGACAGCCAATAATCCCAGCACTAGACTGAGTGAGGTGTCTATGGCAGAAAATGGGCTCTGCTTCCTCCAAATACTTATAAGGGACAGAGTTCTCAAGATACAGGAAGGGAAGGGAGATGTTGAGCAGACAAAAAGAATGGCCTGTAAGTACCGCACCCTTTCAGGCAGTATGTTCGTTTTAGCAGATGACTTCTGGAAGCAAATTCTTAGCATCAAGGGATGACTCAAATGATGGAATTGTCAGAGAGAACCTCAGGCCGGCAGGAGAGAGAGTCTGAAGTCAGGAGGCCTTTTGAAGCCCCTCAAGTCAAACTATGTAGTTGACCACCCACTCTTCCTGTTCTTGGGGCCTAGCCTGGCAGGACAGCAAATTGAGAAGTTAGGACAGAGTCCTAGACCTGCCTATGGCAGTGACTTCAGGGGCTGTGGACCTTTTCACTAGCTTATTCCATTGCAGGGATCCAACGGTGATTTCCTAGGTTTCCTTTAGTATGGTGAGAGATTAGATAGGGCAGACAGATTTTTGTCTCCAGCCCTGAGTAAATTCTGTATGGTTGCCCTGCTTTTCTCACCTCTACCTCTACCTGCAAGAGAGAATATACCCTAACGTCCCCTCAGAGAGTACTGGAGAGGGAAGGACCCACAGAGCCTGTTACCCGAGTTCCCTCACGGGGCCAGAATGGTTGTCTCAGATCTCCCATACAGCCAGATTCAGCACCATGTGGTTCTTCCTCAGTGGGTGGGAACTGGGAGCCACGCCCAACTGCCACATGCTGGATTATCCAGATGGGAGAATATTCAGAGTCACAGATAAGTAAAGTCAGAGACTGGTCTGTGAACATGTGAACATGAGTAGCAGTAAGTCAGATTTTGAAAATCCAGTCATAAAGCAAAAGCTTAAGGTTTTTCTAGAGGCATGTAAGTTAGGGGTTAATTGATTTTTTTAAAAATCAGAGTCTCATTCTGTCGCCCAGACTGGAGTGCAATGGCACGATCACTGCTACCATAGCCTCGACCTGCTGGGCTCAGGCGCTTCTTCTGCTCAGCCTTCCAAGTAACTGGGACTATAGGTATGTGCCACCAGCCTGGCTAGTTTTTTTATTTATTGTAGAGATGAGGTCTCGCCAAATTGCCCAGGCTGGTCTCGAACTGTGGGCTCAGGCAATCCTCTCTCCTTGGCCTCCCAAAGTGCTGGGATTATAGGCATGAGCCACCGCATCTGGCCTAAACTGATTTTTTTTAAGGACCCCAGCTGCAATAAACTAGACAAACTATAACTCTTGGTTCATATCACTGGGCATCTTGGTCATCATTGATTCGTGCATGGCCCACTTTTGTTTATTTTTGGGTTTTTTTTGTTTTTTGAGTTGGAGTCACTCCGCCACCCAGGCTGTAGTGCAGCGGCACACTCATAGCCACCCCAGCGTCCACCTGCTGGGCGCTGGAGATCCTCCACCTCAGCCTTCCAAGTAGCTGGAATTACAGGTACGTGCCACCACGCCCAGCTAATTTTTTAAAAATGTATTTATTGTAGAGACGAGGTCTTGCCAAGTTGCCTGGGCTGGTCTCAAACCCATGGGCTCAGGCAATCCACTCACCTCGGCCTCCCAAAGTGCTGGGACTACAGGCTGAGCCACCAACCCTGGCCCACCTTTGTTTATTTAATGTGCCAGGTAACTTCCACTTCCCCTTCCACACCCACCTTCTACCCTTCTCACCCTGTCCCAGGAGTCCAGCTTCCATGGGCTCCATACCCTTTAGCTTCTGATTGTGTTCAGCTAAGAAGGAGCCTTGGCAAATATGAGAGGAGGAAAGTGAGGTCAGAGTATTTATTCTCTTGACTCCTCTCTGTAGATTTGTCTCAAACTGGCTGCACCTGGCAACCAAAGGCCATACTCCTCTCCAGATGGTCCTTGGTACACAGCCCTCTGCCTTGGGGTTCTAGAAACCACTCATTCCACTGGGCCCTCCCCTCTGAGTCTAGGGATGAGTAACAGTTATCTCATCAGTCCTGTGTAATTGCATTATCCTTCCTGATTTGCCTTTTCCTACCCCCCTCCCCTTTGTAAATATCCCCCTTATAAATCCTCCTCGATTTATCCTTGTTTCAATGTGCCATCTGGTTCCTGCAGGGACCCTGAGTGATGCTGTTGGTTATTCATTTAGTAATTTGAAGCTAGAAAAATCCCAGCACTTGTATCAGGGAGCCACAGAGTGCTAAGAATGCAGCCAGAGCAAGGAAAGCAAATCCCTTGAAGATGACATCCCTCTGATTCATTATGGGGGACATGAGGAAGAAGGTGGACACAAGGAAGGTGACACACTTCATTATATTACAGATGTATTCACATTTTACCCAATTTAGAGTGGAGATATTTTAGCCTTGGAGACTTTCTTTAAAAAGTGTGGGTGTTGTGATAGACAAAGTAGACGATACAGTGAGGAAAAAAAGTGTTAAAAAAACATTTCTCAGGCTGGGAGCAGTGGCTCGTGCTTGTAATCCTGGCACTTTGGAAGGCCAAGGCAGGAGGAATCTTTGAGCCCGGGAGTTTTTGTTTGTTTGTTTGTTTGTTTTGGTTTTTTTGAGTTGTTGTCTCACTCTGTCACCCAGTCTAGAGTGCAGTGGCACAATCACAGCCACCACAACCTCGACCTGTTGGGCCCAGGTGATCCTTCTGCCTTTCTGCCTCAGCCTTCCAAGTATCTGGAACTACAAGTGTGCGCCACCACGCCCAGCTAATTTTTTGATTTATTGTAGAGATGAGGTCTCACCAAGTTGCCCAGCCTGGTCTCAGGTAATCTTCTTGCCTCCACCTCCTAAAGTGCTGGAATTACAGATGTGAGTCACTGCACCTGGCTGAGCCCAGGAGTTTGAGACCACTCTGGCAACATAGTGAGACTTCGCCTCTACAAAAATTTTTTAAAAATTAGCCAAGCATAGTGATGCGTGCCTGTGGTCCCAGCTACTCAGGAGGCTGAGGCAGAAGGATCGCCTGAGCCCAGGAGGTCAAGGCTGCAGTAAGCCATGATTGAGCCA